GGAAGAGCAGTCAGGCAAAATGCAGGTAAATTAATAGATGCTGGCTTGAATCAGTGCTTTCCTCTGTTCCTCATATAATTCTTGCAAAGCATTGCCAACAATAATTATCATCCCGCAGGGAACGCTCGAGGATCAAATCATCAGCGCCAACCCACTGCTGGAGGCCTTTGGAAATGCCAAGACCGTGAGGAATGACAACTCCTCACGCTTTGTAAGTTGCTGCTTAGACAAAAGGCCCTCTTCATTAGAACAGTAGTGATGGGCTTGTGATTTTCTCACATAAGGAGATAGCAATGAAATGCACTCAGGCTAAAATCCTTTTTCTTCCCTTTCACAGGGCAAATTCATCAGAATCCACTTTGGAGCTACAGGCAAACTGGCTTCTGCTGACATTGAAACCTGTAAAAGACTTCCCTGATCTGATCACATTCTTTCCCAAATTCCTACCCCTTCTTGCAGTCTTATGTCTTACTCTTTCTACCTTTCTTGCCAGACCTGCTGGAGAAGTCCAGAGTCACTTTCCAGCTTAAGGCAGAAAGAAGCTACCACATATTTTATCAGGTCACCTCCAACAAGAAGCCAGAGCTAATTGGTAGGAGAGTTCACTGAGATTTTTGGAGGAAGATCAGTGAGAAACATTTAACTACATTAAAAGACCAATGAAATTTAACCCATGAACTCATTTGTTTTCAGAAATGCTCCTCATTACCACCAATCCGTATGATTTCCCTTTTGTGAGTCAAGGTGAAATCACTGTTCCCAGCATTGATGACAAGGAAGAGCTGATGGCTACAGATGTAAGTCACTTTCCAAGCAGGTCAATCGGCACAGGTCATGCATCACATAACATGCAAGTATTTCACTTTACTGATTGTACTACCAGAGTGCCATTGACATCCTGGGCTTCAGTGCTGATGAGAAGACAGCCATCTACAAGCTGACAGGGGCTGTCATGCACTACGGGAACCTGAAGTTCAAGCAGAAACCAAGAGAGGAGCAGGCAGAGCCGGATGGAACAGAAGGTATTATCAAACTCAATAATGAACACTTCTGTAAGCTACTACAGATGTGCAAGACAGCAAAAGTTCTTCTTGGACTTTAGGACCCCAAGGAAAACAGTAAGCTGGAAAAATCTGTCCTTTGTCCATCAGAAACAGTTGTAAGCTCTGGATCTGAAAAAGAACAGAGACATCCTCTCTGTGTTTATCCTAAATATTGGATGCTTTTGATCACCTGAAGGTAGATCAGCACCTGCCTATTGTCACTGCAGCTCCTGAGCTATGCAAGCACTACTCAGACGGGAAAGGTGCAGCTTTCAATTTTGTGCCAGGAGTTTTTTGAAAATATCATTACTTCCTACATGCTTCAATGAGATTTTCAAACATAAATTCTTCTAGAAAAGCTCAATATTCATAATGAATCTGTTACCAGGATTCCCTCTATGGGTCTGTAAAGAGATTTCTAAGAACAGAGATCTGAATTCTGCAGCCTTTAGAGAGTTCCCTGGGATTCAAAGTCAATGTGACACTAAATTCTTCCCTTTTCTTGTCTTCTCAGTTGCTGACAAGGCTGCCTATCTTATGGGTCTGAATTCAGCTGACATGCTCAAGGCCCTCTGCTACCCCCGAGTCAAAGTTGGGAATGAATATGTGACCAAAGGGCAAACTGCACAGCAGGTAACAAATGTGGTAACCTGGAACCATGTTTTGAATTAAGATCCTTTTGATTCTCCTCTGCTCTGTGTGGTAACTCCAGGTATTTATTTTTCTTATAGGTGCACAATTCAGTGGGTGCTCTGGCAAAGGCTGTCTATGAAAGGATGTTCCTGTGGATGGTTGTTCGCATCAATCAACAGCTGGATACCAAGCAGCCCAGACAGTACTTCATTGGTGTCCTGGACATTGCTGGCTTTGAGATCTTTGATGTAAGTAACAAAGATTTGGCAAGAACTATTTGGAAGTGACAACTGGATGTTAGTACCAATCTGAGATATATTATAAAAGAAGATGTAATGTCATCACATAATTATGTGCAATTGTTTTGTCTTTTTTCATCATGAAGTAAAAAAACAACCTTTTAAAGGTCTTACTTCAAGATGTGCAAACTCTAAAGTACAGAACGGTCGAATAGGAAAAATATTTTCACACTTTTATCAATGAGATAAAATCATTGTGGACAATTAATTTGATGCATTTCTCTGTCTTTTTATATAGACATAAAGCAGAATGCACAGACATGATGATGAAGAAGACAACTTCATTTTTTATTTTTAAAGCATAGGTTTTGCAATTATTTCTGTGTCTTGCAAATATGGGTCTTTCTTATCTTATTTCCAGTTCAACAGCTTTGAGCAGCTGTGCATCAACTTCACCAATGAGAAACTGCAACAGTTCTTCAACCACCACATGTTCGTGCTGGAGCAAGAGGAGTACAAGAAGGAAGGAATTGAATGGACATTCATTGACTTTGGGATGGACTTGGCTGCCTGCATTGAGCTCATTGAGAAGGTATCATTCTTGTTCAGGTGCATTTCATACATGAAGATTCTATAATTACTTGGCCTCATTTTTGGCCTTGGGTCCAAATATTTACCTTTTGTTGTTCAGTATATCCCATTAGGTATTTATACAAATTGATAAGAGCCCCTAAGGCCTTCTCTTTTCCAGGCTGAACAGTCTCACCTCTCTCAGCTTCTACTTGTATGTCAGTTGTTCCAGTCATTTAAATATCTTCATGGCTTGTCATTGGTCTCATTCTACTCTGTCCAGGTTTCTCTTGTACAAAGGAGCCACAAACTGGAGACAGCACTCTAGATGTGTCTCAGTAGAGCTGAATAGAGGAGAAGGTTCACATCCCTTGAGCTGTGAGCAACATCCTTAATGCAGCCCAGGATGAGCTGGCTGCCTTTGTGGCAAGGGTGTATTGTTGGCTCATGTTCAGTTTGTCTAAGATGTGTGTGTGCTTTGGATCTCTCTGGATAAGAAGGTAGTGCTCTGATTTTATAAAGCATGTTCTCAACACAAACCAAATTAATTTCCATTAACCTTTATATTTCATTTGTTGTTAAAAAATATAAGTATCAACATGTTTAATCTCACTTTCTAGCAGACAAGGCAAAAGAATAATAATCTTTTCTGACGTGTCTCTAGTCTGTGTTCCACCACTCTGCCTAGGTCGAGGTCATTACTGTCCTGAAAACTAAATTACAATCCTTATCCTTTGTTAATTTCCTCCAGCCCATGGGCATCTTCTCCATCCTGGAAGAGGAGTGCATGTTCCCCAAGGCAACTGACACCTCTTTCAAGAACAAGCTCTATGACCAGCATCTGGGCAAGTCTAGTAACTTCCAGAAGCCCAAACCTGCCAAAGGCAAGGTTGAGGCCCACTTCTCCCTGATACACTATGCTGGTACAGTGGACTACAACATCACTGGCTGGCTGGAGAAGAACAAAGACCCCCTGAATGAAACTGTCATTGGATTGTACCAGAAATCATCACTGAAAACACTGGCCTTACTCTTTGCCAACTATGGTGGAGCAGATACAGGTTGGTTCTATGAATCCTGTATTTTTTTTTACGGCTTACAAAAAGGAACCAAAAAAGTCAAAATCAAAAGATTAAAATCTGTTTTACTTATTTTCAATTTTGCAGAGGCTAGTGCTGGCAAGAAAGGTGGCAAGAAGAAGGGTTCTTCCTTCCAGACTGTCTCAGCTCTGTTTCGGGTACAGTAGCAATTTCACTATTTCTTGTTAAGATAAGGAGTAAACCCACCATTTAATATGGCTAAGTTTTTTTTTTTGTTTAGTTCTTAGTTCAAGACCTTGATACTCTTGGGCCATATTTTGCTAGGAATCAATCCACTCTAATCTATTTATGCTCCAATCCACCAAATGCACAAATTTTCTATTTGTACACTTGTCCCAGGATGATGTTTCCAGATGGAAGAATGTCATTGAGAAAACTTCTATAATATGTCTAAAAGAAATCAGATTTCCTTCAGATGCCACCTCTGACTTCGGAACCTTTTATTGCCCTTTACCAACATCCTGCCCACTGGAGGATGACCTATTTACTCCCTAGTTTTTCTCCATGATGCAGGGATTAATCTCTTATAGCTGAAACACCACCATTACTTGGGTTATGTATTTGTAAGATGTCAGATACTTGACAAATCTTTGTCATAACCAAGTCTTTCTGCCTGTCTGCTCCGTACACTTCTGCCACGTCAAATAGCTAGTCTCTCCTGAGGATATTTATGACCATATTCAGCCTTCATTTACGACTTCCTTCTTGATATAGCCTGATTTCTTCTACATATCTGCTACCATATGTATGATTCTTGATCACCTGACAACCTCTAGCCAGTACTCTGAAACAGGACATGGGCATGTGTTTATATATCCCAAGAAAAAATAATCCTAGTGGTAGTGCCTTTGCCTTGCAAGTGGGAAATTATTGCCAGCATGTATCATTCAAAAATAATGTAATAAGCCTATAAAGGTTATAAGTGCTTAAGAGGTAATATTATAGAAGAAATATTATTTGCTGCATTTGGGTTGCATTTGTTATGTTTTCAAACTTTCTCACACTATCCCTCTTGTTTAGACGTGTTAGTGTTGTTAAGACCTCTTAAGGTTTTGGCTTCTTAATCTACGTACTCTGAGATGTCCCCTGGAGGCACCTGCTTCCTTCTAGTAACTATAGACAATAATTATTTATAAATAAGTAGAGATGTTAATTACAAAATAGGGATGGGATTCCTATCACCTTATTCACATCTTACCTTATAAGATAAACATGTAATGTAGACATATAAAACTCAGCTTGTCATTTTTATTCCTTTTGCTTTCAGTGGGGAAAACAGGAATGTCCATATGTCTTAAGTCCATATTGTCATATGCTTCAGATTGCCTCACAGGGCTACCACCAGATTAACTATCTACTTACATCCAATGGAAGATGCAATTTGTAATCAAATCTGTAATGAAAAATCATCATTTGTAATGAAGGCATTCCACTGAAGTCAGTGAAATGTATTAAAACTGTGTCTAAGAGTACAGTATATCCTACAGATTAGTCAGAAGAAACTTTAGATATGAAATTATTAACAGTAAAGATATGTGGGAAGTAAGAAAAAAAATCATGCAGGGGGCTTCAGTTAAAGATTCTGCAAGCTAATTTTTGCCAGATACCTCATTATCTCATTTCAGAGGGCTTGATGGTTATAGTGGAAATTGCATTTCCTGATATAAACTTTTGTTAATGACTCTCCCAGGAGAATTTAAATAAGCTGATGACCAATCTGCGAAGCACCCACCCCCATTTTGTACGTTGTATCATCCCAAATGAAACAAAAACACCTGGTAAGAGACTCACATATAGAAGGTTTTCAATATAGTACAGGTCTTCCCCTCTGTATTACAGAATATAGCATATATTTACGTTCTGAATTGCCTAGGTGCCATGGAACATGAACTGGTGCTTCACCAGCTGCGGTGTAACGGCGTGCTAGAAGGCATCAGAATTTGCAGGAAAGGATTTCCCAACAGAGTCCTGTATGCAGATTTTAAACAGAGGTCAGACTTCTTCTCCTTACTGGGTCATTTTTTCCATCCTGAGTAGCTTGTGAAATTTAAATTTCACCTCTGGTGACTAGAGCCCTCTCTAAAGTTTATGTTTATCAGTCCTGCTATGTTCTCAGCAGTTCTACACTTTCTCGCAGTGTACCAGCCAGTTGGTCTCAACAACAGAACTCTTCATATTCATAGAATCATAGAATTAAGAGGTTGGAAAACACTCCTAAGACCATTGAGTCCAATGCAAGTCTTTACATTTTCTCCCCCAGATACAAAGTATTAAATGCAAGTGCTATTCCAGAGGGACAGTTCATTGACAGTAAGAAGGCTTGTGAGAAACTTCTTGGATCCATTGACATAGACCACACTCAATATAAATTTGGTCACACCAAGGTATAAGAACTGTTTTTTTCAAGGACTATGTGTTTTTGGTTTGCATGGCTTTAGAATGATACTCAGATTCTCCAGATAGTATATAAAATGATCAAATTTCATACTTAAAGTAAATATTTTTCATATTTAAAAGAAATCAACAAAGTACTTATTGACTGAAGAAAAATAGAATTGAAATTCATTGCCATAGGATGATTTAATTATGCGTTAATTAAAAGTTCCTAATTTAAGACAAAGTTGTAGAATAAAAGAATCAAGGTTTAAAAAAACTAAAAGCTAAATATGTGGCTATTATAATTCCACAACTGCAGGTAACTGGAAGCGTGGAGGTATAAAAGACAATCTATCACTACATACATACTCTATGTTCTTTTGCTCTTTTGCTTAACTTCCCATATTATCTGCCACGGGGCGGGTACTGGGCTACACTGAACAATAAGCATTACACCTACACCACATTTTCATGTTCTTTCCAAAGGTGTTCTTCAAAGCTGGGCTGGTAGGCCTCTTGGAAGAGATGAGGGACGAGAAGCTGGCACAGCTCATCACCCGCACACAGGCCAGGTGCAGGGGCTTCCTGATGAGAGTGGAGTACCAGAAAATGGTGGAGAGGAGGTAGATATTTCTTCTTAGGTTGACTGTATTTGGCTTCTTGTATCATTAGAGCCTAAAAATTGAATAAGAATTTGACTTACCTTTCAGAGAGTCCATTTTCTGCATCCAGTACAACATTCGTGCATTCATGAATGTGAAGCACTGGCCCTGGATGAAGCTGTTCTTCAAGATCAAGCCCTTGCTGAAGAGTGCAGAGTCTGAGAAGGAGATGGCCAACATGAAACAAGAGTTTGAGAAAACTAAGGAAGAGCTTGCCAAGTCTGAAGCAAAGAGGAAGGAGCTGGAGGAGAAAATGGTGAAACTAGTGCAGGAGAAAAATGATCTGCAGCTCCAAGTGCAGGCGGTGAGTACAACCAGTGTATATCACCCTAACTGAAATATGACTACCAGGATATTTACTATTACATTTTCAAAGGCACATAGAAACTACAATTTAATTCAATTCAGTTGTATTGCATTAAGTGGTGCTCTTAAAAATAGCACTATTTTCAGTAAGGGCTGTCAGGAAACTGTAGTCAAGACATTACACGGGTGAGATTTTTCTATTGTGTATGCTGAGGTCTCTGTCATTTACATTTGCAATCAAGAAACTTTACTTTTATCAATATAATGTTTATTTTTCTAGTAATTTTCCCCAGCCTCTCCAAAACTACACATGCCTGTTCTTATATACACATGATTAGGAATTCTTAGGACAAGTTAAGTGGACATTTTATTCCTCTCTTTAATCTCCAATTCAATGAGATAACTTTCTGTTCTAGATGGTGGCTTAGCTGTTACAAACATTGCTATAATGTAATATTAACGAACTGAAAGGAAACAGAATTTAGTATTCTCACTCACCCTCCTAAATCATTACATAATAGTATATGTGGTATGTAAGTGGTGTTGCAATGCCATGGTTTCTACATTAAATGAATCACAGAATAAAAAAGACTGTATCCTCAAAGTAATGCTATGTAACATGTGTGACACATAGGAAAATTTACATGACCTCATTTTTAAAGGATCTTGACTTGTAAAAAGATGAAAAAATCCACTCACTACTAAAATTAGAAGTTTTCTTTCTTATTAGTTCTAATTGACTGAAACTCAAGATGAAATATAACAAATACTGCAGGACATCTTCTGGAAAAAAAAAAAAAAGACCAGAGACAAATTTTCCAGGAACTCCTTTTCTTCTTAGCTGATGAGGGTCTCACAGAGAAGAGCCAAAGCTGCTGAATGCTGAGTATTTTTGGGCTATGATGATGAAAAATCAAAATCAGAAACAGTTGCTCCAGAAAGACAGTAGGGTAAAAAAAGAGATAAACAGGAATGACGTAATTTTAACCGTAACTATGGTATTGCTATGCATCTTGGCACATGGCTATAGCTTGGCACTTCATAACTGTGGGAGGTATTCCCATGATTAAACCTGAACTTATATACTTTGTTCTAATGTTTGATGTTGTGGGTTAATATTGGATTCCATACCTTGCACAAATACGTAAATAGTCTGGTCTTCATTTAGATTAAAAATAATTTTATTATTTGGTTTTAGCTTTCAAAACTAGCTGTTTCCAAACCAGCAATATAAAATGAGTTCTATATTTTGTTTCATGTTTGGAACATAAATCAAAATTTAACTACAAAATCCAGGACTCAAAACTATGTTGATATTCTCTGAAAAAAAAAATCAAAAACAAACACCTCCATAAAAAGGTATTTTCCTTACCAGGAAGCAGATGCTTTGGCTGATGCTGAGGAAAGGTGTGAC